AGAACGGCTGCTGCTGTAAGGTCAGCACAAGTCAGCTGACATTTTGAATATCACGTGAGGTTTCAGACTCTGCTTTAAACAGGAGCTGTCACATCATCTTCAACGTACCACGGAGTCTTGTACTGTCCAGGGCCAGGCCGGGTTAGCATGGCTCTGCTAACCTGTTTGTCATCTTCCATCTTTGACAGAGCGCCACACAGAGCTGCCAGCTTCACTGCCTCTTTCTCAGTTCAAAGCCAACCGGCTGCCTACCAGAGTGAGAGCCCATGGAGTCATCACTTTAGGTAAAGCGTGTGCGTCCTCCACGTTCAGCTGTGACTCCGAGCCGTGAGCTTAAATGTTTGTGACTGTGCTTCAGGTAAACTGGCCCTGCAGAATGAAGAACTAGCCCAAAAGTACCTGCCCGTGTTTGCCAGGGAGTTGGAGGTCGGCACCGAGGTTTCAGTACGCAGCAACGTGGTCGTGATCATGTGTGATCTGTGTGTGCGATACACCAACATGGTGGATCACTACATCCCCAACATCTCTGCTTGTCTGCGAGACAAAGAAGCTGTCATCAGAGAGCAGACTGTCATCATGCTGACCAACCTGCTGCAGGTCAGTTCCTGTTTTAATGTCACCATACTTCTGTAAGTCCTCTTCTGATGTGACGTTACACGTTAAACATGGATGGACTTCATGCTTTTCTCATGACTACATTTTAGGAAGAATTTGTGAAATGGAAAGGCTCCCTCTTCTTTGACTTCATGGTGGCTCTTGTTGACCCGGTCCCTGCCATCGCCAGGTATTCATACACAGACAGAACGTGAAAGTGTGATATGCAACACAAATTCATTCATTTTTGAATCCCTGACTGGCAGACACATTATGCACTCAGCAAACACGTTAACAGGAAGTCCAGGTGATTCGTGCGCAGGTTTCAGGCTGTGTCTTGTGTGTCTGAAGCATGAGCAGGGTTTGTTTTCTACGGAGCCCCGCAGGGGACATGGGAGAAAAAAAAATTAAGACGGACTTTTGCGCGATCTCGCAAAACTAACTCGGGATCTCGCAAAACTAACTCGGGATCTCGCAAAACTAACTCGGGATCTCGCAAAACTAACTCGGGATCTCGCAAAACTAACTCGGGAT